AATGATTTGTTTGATAGGAAGTTAAACAAATAAACTTTACAAGCAGCTTGTGGATGGAAAAAAATAATAATTACATTCGGTAAACTGAATGGTGTCGTTAATGTTTGTTGGTCCTTGTTTTCACGAATACATGTCCTGAATTAACGTCATATTGTTGCGTAATCAAATATCTCTCGCATTCTAAATTTATTTTTCTAATTATTCTTCAGATAACATTATTGTCACTAATTAATTAATTAATTCGCTCACTAATTTGGAACTGAAACTCTTTGTCCTCTTCTAACTCGTAGGAAAAATTTCCGTTGAACTTCAATGGGAATCAATGGAAAATTTGTAAGTTCCATTCAAACCCATTTGGCATAAATGGAAATATAATTGTTTCCATTTACAATAAAACCATTAATATTTATATAGGGAAAATTTCCGCTGATTTTCAATGGGAACCAATGCAAAATTTATGAATTCTATTTAAAACCATTCAATATAAATAGAAAAACAATTGGATACCTAAAAATAGAGAAGATCTGATTTGAGATGATTAAAACTTATTAAAAAAAAATGGAGGAAAACGTGCTGAAGTTAATGTGATTGTCAAAGCAAGTTGTAAAAAAACCTCATATTTCATTGATTAAAACGAATGTCATTTAATTACCACTAACAATAATTAAAGGTAAAAAATAAAGAATTGACACTAGGATTTCTATTGGGTTCAGCAATGGAAATTCCAGTGTGTTCAGGAATGGAAATCCCATTGCTTTCAGCAATGGTAATCCCATTACGTTCATCAATGGAAATCCCATTGAGTTCGGGAAAGGGATTTCCACTAGAATTCTAGTCGTCCCATTAGCAATTCTCCATTTATTACCATTAATTATCAGTGGTAATTAAATGGCATTTTCTTAATGGATATAGAATGGAAATTTTTCCTAAGGGAACCTTGCAGGGATAGATGTTCTAGAAAGATACCATTGCAGAATGCAAGTTCCAGAGAATTCTGGGCTTCTTAATTAATACTAGTGTAGTACGGCACTTGACACTTCTTCACATAGTGTATTAGTTTCTGTGCATGTCCGACAAGCTTCTTCATCTTTTTTCATCCTTTCTACATGATTTCGTCCTTCCTGTTGAACGTTCTCTAAAAGTTCTTACAAGTCGTTTCGGTTGAAAATAAAAATACAAACATTTCCTAATCATCGCAAATTGGATGAGCGTTTCTGACAATTTTATGTGTCATTCTTCTAACCTGACGATTTATTTCCGGCTGCGCATTTTTATTGCTTGAGAACGAGTTGAGCAAAGAATACTATCGTAATTCAGTTTTATATCCTAATTGAATTGAATTTAAAATCGAGTATCTCTCGGACAAACTCGAAATCCGGCAATTTCCTTTCGCGACTCTTTTATGCATATCATCATCTTAAGGTCGTCAGTCCTAAGACTGGTTGGACACGCACATCCACTCTTTCCTATCCTGAGCTAATTTTCGCATTTCCCTAAAGTTAGAACATCCCACATCCTTAACTAATTGTGAAAAGTAATCGTACATGGAAAAAAAACTTCTCGTCCCATAATTACCTGTTTATATTTGGGCAAATGGTCCAGTAGTCGATGGCACGTAGCACATATATGGCGTATCTCCGTACCATAACCTAATTTAACTTAATAATTCTGTCGGTGAGAGTTTAGCCACAGCCACTACCACATCGTATTGTAATGTTCGTAGGCTTAACAAAATTAACTTCTAAAAGTGATAACGGCAAAAACTATTTATTTACACTAATTATTAATATATCACTATTCACTGCGCTAATTATTTCACTGCTATCACTGTCAATTTATTTCCCGATTCACTTCTGCAACGGTCAATTTATTTCTTCTCCTCTCTGCTATCGTCTCTTCCTTTAAATACTCTTTTGTTTACTTTCGGGAACCTTTTGGAAACATCCGGATAGTTTATTTTTTCTTTAAATTGTTTAACTGCTTTCCCAGAACGCAGGTAAGACACACACATTTACAAATACGGCGCACATGAAGAAAGGCGCCCACGGCTAGTCGGCGAATAGATAAGCCGTTCACGCACACGTGTGTCCGATTGCACACAAACACACTCGTGCTCGCTACAGTATCTACGATCTTAAGACGTGTGGCTGAGTACTTACTGATTAAACACGGCAAAATATTGTTCATATGAAGTAGATGTATTGGCTAGTTTCATCCTTTAAGTAATAATAACGTCCAAACGCCTTAATGGTCAATTAATTCCAGAAAGGGCTATTAACCGAGGAGATAGTTGTAATAATTTGCATTATAGAGATATTCAGAACATCACGATAAATGATAATCACTTCGTTACACGTGCATGTATGCTAGAAACCATAGAACTATATTATTAGTATTACTAGAATAGGACATGATTATATAGTGATATTGAGAAGCGTACGATTGGTTCTTGGTTCGTAACATTTTCATCAATCCATTAAAAGCTGTATTACAAGCAATACAGTTCGCTTCAGTTGCTCTATAGCACCTTGCAATTTGATCTGTGTTTAAACGGAAAAGAGCAACAGATCAAGTTGCGAAACGTTCTAGCAATTTGTTGGGGCGGCATCAATTACTTGTACAGTAGCAGCAGATCTCGTCTTTCTATATGACGTTTAATTAAAAACTGTTTTCAAAGCAAACTCAGAATTATCCTTAGTGTTCCGCAAAAAATGTTTTTAAACAATGGTAGTGATTAAAAGACTCTAAGAACCGATAGAATAAATAAGCGGACTGAATCTTATTATACGATATAATATTTCCATCATAACACCATCAGTCCACTTTTTTTTTGTTGCCTCACATACTTGGCATTGATATTGTATTAAATTTGAACCTGATAAATCTTAATAATTATTCAATCGATTATTTTTTACATATGTACCTATATTCCCAATTTCCTTATTTCATATAGTGACAGCCATTGCGCCTTTCGGTATCGTCAGATTAGATTTATGTTTAGTTTGGTGTGCGTTGACCCTCGAATATCAGACAAATCATTGTCAATTTTACCACCTGCTTCAAATCAAACTACATAGGTCACTTAAAGGAGCGAATTTGTAGTATCTTCCATCCAATGTCAAACATTATCTTTTAATGAAAATAATTGCCATTTTGAACCAACTGAGAAATTGGTGCTACACCGAATAAATTAACAAGAAGCAATGCAATGCATTAATTAATTAACTCTTAACACAAAGAAGGATGGAAAAAAGAGTGGAAGAACTATAAGGGGATGATCAATTTGGGTTTAGAAGAAATAGAGGATTGCGGGAGGCCATTCTAGCTTTACATTAATACGTAATCCTAAAATGTAGCATCGTGCTACAGATGGCGTTCACTGTGCCGTTTGTAGTATTTTCTGGAACGCATTTAATGAGGCAGTTTAAATAATCCTGCAAATGGTACTGTACACTTTTGTCTAGTTCTCGCTCGATGATCGGTGGAGAAATGAGCTCCGCAGACAAATATGATTGAATTTGGAATTATGCTACGGCGCATCCTAATAAAGGGAAGGGGCCTATCTCTAACTTCTTGAAACGAGCAGTACATAGGATTTATAGATTTAGAAAAAGCTTTTGACATTGGCAATAGGCAGTTATAGAGCTGTAGCCATTGTAGCAGCAATGTAGAGAGGTAAATATCAGGAAGGGAGTCAGACAAAGATGCACAGTGTCATCGCTACGCGAAGATTAGCTCAGGATGGGAAAGAGTGGAGGTGCGTGTCCAACCGGTCTTAGGACTGACGACCTTATGATGACGATGAATGTAAAGCAATTAAGCACATGAAGTTTTTTGTTACTAATCTGCTGAAGTCATTAGGTGTCGAGCATAATTTAGAACTAAGCCAGAAGTCGCAATATGTCAAATGTGAGCTATGCAGTAGGAGCACAGTTAGTTACAATGTCGTAAGTATCCATGAGATTCACGACAGTGTGAGGTACATGAGGCAGCACATTTTCATGATGCACTAAACGTTCGTTGATGTTCTAGTGTCCATTTTTTCTTAAAATGACATAACATCGTGATCAATTTGTAATAATTTGCCGTGGTCATCAGACCTTGCAGCAGGTTGGTATTCCACTGATAACTTTTTTATTTGAGTTTTGGATGAAAGTGACCGACTGACTTGAAGGTTTTAGATGACTAAAAGGGTGAGGTACACGATTGTATACATTATTACCACCCTTTGCGACACATTTTCCCCAGGGTCACCATTATCAATAGTTTTTTGAACGACCCTCGCATAAAACTTAGTAGTAGTAGTTCTTACACTTTCTCAAACCATATTGGTGTGGAGATATTCATTTTTTGGTTTGTTTTGACATAATTGATGGCGACTGCAAAAGCAAACTTTCCAAGCTCATCATTAACATCTTCCTAGGCAGTGATTTAGCTAGGAGCTTCTATCCGACAGTGACACCCTGACCTGGTTCTATCTATCGAGCCGCCGGGTCACATTTTAAAGCGCCCCTGGATTTTATCGAGATTATTGAAGTGAAAACTTTTAAATTCTGCAAAATATGGTCAAGTTTCTATCCACTCGCAAATACAACACGCCCATGTCGTTCTATGACAATTTATTCTCTTCGGGGCCTCAATTTGAGTTGGTAGGTGGCATTTTGAAGATGTTACGGCGTCATCAAAAGGCCATTACAGGAAATGTATCCAATCTGCCGGTGGTGATAAACGAAGGAAATAAGAAGTGGCTGTGTTTCGAACGAACAGTTTATTTTTCACTTTTCCCACAAAGAAAAAAGAAAATGAGCGTCGTTGTTGGTGGTGAACAGCCTTCCGTGCGAATTTCCGACACCCCTCCAATTGGACGCGCATGGATGCTGCATTGGCGAGTTTTCACGGAGCCGTCGAGGATTCAGTGCGCTCAGGACGAAGCACGTGCAAAGGGGTGCAAGTGGTACGGCGCCCAACGTAGTCGCGCGCGAGTTTGATAAAAACGAGTTTCCAAGAAGTACCTTCAAACTATTTGTCTTTTAATAATTATACTTGTAGTAGTGATAAGTGAATTTTTATTACTTGACTAGTTTCTATAACTATTGAAGTGTTTGCTGCTTAAGTGCGGAAAATTTAATTAAAGTGCGTGAAAAACCTCACAAAAGTTAAACTGTTACTTAAATGGTGCAGCGAGATTGAGCATCCTTGTTACAGGTACTTGTGCCCTGTCTGTCACTTTATCATTTCGAAAAGTTGTGGCGGTTTATCGTATTCAATTTGTTCAGATTCTCCGTTTTCTCTGTGTGCATTGTGTTTGGTTTAGGATGAATAAAAAATTACGATTCAAGAAAGGTTTCCAGTTGTATTTGTTAGAAAATTGTAGAGTACATATATTATATTATATAAGTTTCCCATTATTCCAATTATACATATGTATAACTTACGGATTCATCATGATAATCATCATAAGATCGTCAGTCTTAAGACTGGTCGGACACGTACCTCCACTCTCCTATCCTGAGCTAACTTATGGGTGGAATTTATAATTTATAATTAACTTGTTGTGTCTGGCCTTCATGGTAGGTATGTTCCTCCTTCGGTAATATTTATTCCCCTCCTGCTTTGTCAATTAATTTTATTGGATCATATTCAACTATTATTTCTTGAGAAAATCTTTGCAAGAAATAATTAATCCTATATACTTTACCTTATTTCCGAAGTTTTCTTTTGATTTCAGCCGAATTCGTTTGTTTGCGATCACTCAGGAAGTTAAAAAAAGGTTTTTTTTTGAAATGTCACCGACCTTACTCGGAAAATAAGTAAATGCTGCTAATAAAAAGCAGTCGCTATGACCGTGCTAATTAATCGCATGGTGATTGCTATCTTTAAAATTTTCAATGGTTTGTGCTTTTAATCACTGTTGTACGACTTTCGATAACTACTTTTTTATTATCTACGACGCAATTTCGTTGACACAACAACACCATTCTAAATTTATAACTGTGGAGCAATTATTTCAACTGGCTATCTGGCTGTATTAGTTATGTACCTACTACACTCATCAGCGAATCTAGATATTACGTTCTGCGTTCGCTAATATAACGATTTAGAGCGTTACTGTATACCTTTGCAACGTCTGTGAGTTACTATAGTGCTAAGGCGCTCGGGGGACTCCCGAAATAACCGCTGTAAGCTTCTGCCGATATCTACGTACGTTGTAGATACACAATGGTACTGGTAGATGGCAGCATATTATGCAATTCAATGTTAATAAAGAAATTTATTAAAAAATAATTTAATAAGGGTTTAGGCTAATTGAAAGTATGTTTAATATTTATTCAATAAGAAGACATCAAATTTGTATGTACCAGCTGCTTAGTTTATGCTAAAAAGGGATAAATACATTTGAGGTGTTATTGCAATAATATATATACTAGGAGGTGTGTCCGTACGAATAATTGGCACTGTGATATTTTTCATTAATTTCAGCAACTTATTAATAGTTTGTCTAATTTATGTTTTTAGACTGTTGTACGACTTTTGATGCATTTTTCTTGTTTATGACACAATTTTGTTGGCACATCAACACGATCCCAGACTTACAGTATCATATTCTTGCGCCTGTTTCCAACGATCTCTTTCTGTTCTATGATTCGTGCAGGTACTTTTGTACAATTATACAATCAATGTCGACCCAATTTCATATAAAACATTAACACGATGGATTGCCGTTTTTGTAGTTAGGTGGCTGTGGTTTTTACTGATAATAGCACCGGTAGATGACGGCATAATGAGGCAAATCAATAATAGTATGGAAAATTAATAAAAACATAATTCAATAAGCACCTATTGCAATTCAAAGAAATCATAAAAAAAAATAAAATACGGGTGAGATGGTTCATTAGAAAAGCCTGACATGTAATGATGTTTGCGACATAAAACCTTTCCGCACATGTCACAAAAATTGACATACTTTAAGCAGCTGTAGGTATCATTGCATTGGAGGCACTACACTGAATCGTCTTCTGAATGGCTATCGCTAGATTATTGTAGAGTAAAATCTGAATTGTCGTCATCCGTTGTTGACCCATTTGTAACCGCATTCTTCACCACCTTTCTCTTTTTATTTTTTGGTTTAATCTTCGTCTACTGGGTTCATAGCCTTCTGTCTTGTTTTCGCCTGTTTTGATTCTCTGACACCTTTTCTTTTTTCAATGTGCTCCGATGATGTTAAAATGGCTGCCACCTGCTTCGCTCGCTTCCTAGCCTTTTCAATAAATTAAATTTGTCTAACATGGTTTCTGGGGTATCATTTTCTTGAATTTATTCTTAGACTTAACTCGTACTTGCCTGAACCTAGCCTGCTAGTTCCTGAATGATTCTCTTCCTAGAGGGATGATAAAGTAGGATTCTTTTCTATTTTACGAGACAGATGGTACACGAACCATCTCTCCCAATTTAACAGGAAAGTCGTCACATGTAATTTTCGCTAAATACAACTCTGTCAACCTGATTATAACCTCAACAATTCCCACGACCACCTTGATCTTAAAACACCCACAAAAATTGCAAATAAATATGAAATATTTCAACTTGTTTACATGGTTCAATTAATTTTTAGGTCCATTCAAACCTATTTTTGTGCATAACTTACCTATTAAATGCTTTAACGCCAAAATCTTTAGTCTATGATGCAACACGTGTACACTACTGCCTTTGATTAACAGCAACGTTTCCGAGCTCAACTATTGTTGCGAAAACTGAAATGTCCCAACTCACCCGGTGCTCCATCTCTCCCGGAATATCTCTACATGAACATGAGTTCTTATTGTATTAATATAGGTATATGATGAGGATAATTATGACTTTCTGGTAAAAGTAAAATATACTATTGTTGCCAGTTTAACCGGGAAAAATGCAGAGTACGTCTGATTCCGTGGAATTTATAATACCTAAATTGTAGCTTTCGAACCCAGATTAATAAAATCCTTGTATTAATTTATTATTCGTATGTATTTTAGGCAAATTTGTGTTCTTTTTTGTGCTTCCATATAAATGTACTGGTGTATTGCTAAGTGTAACAGAGTCATAATGAATAGAAAATTCCTGATTATGAAGTTAAATAAATTATAATTTCCTTTTTTTATTTGCAAGAGGGTAATGTGAGAGTTTGAAATAAGAAAGTTCCCTCAATTGCACAATGTAATCTCATCCGTTCTCTAACATTCTCCGTGAAAGGCGCGGAAACTTTATTGAATGTTCATGTTTTATTTGTGAAGTTTCTGGAAGCTTTTATAGGTATAAAGCAATCTTGAAACCAATGAGCTGAAAGAGAAGAAAGGTTCAGTAACTTGTTCGTAATGTTAAAATTTTTTGAAAGTTGAAACTGTTGGCTCTGATTAAATTTGGAAACTGCCGCAATTTCTGAGTTACACGAGTGGGTACTGAGAGACTACACTAATAAAGAAAAAGTAAAACTTTTATTTCTGCATATTCGATTTGATACACGCATGCAGGTATACAGGGTGTAACAGAAATAAGTGCCGAGCTTTGGAGGGTATAGACTAGATGCAATAAACAATCGCATGGTGAGCGCCGTTAAGCGCATGAAGCCGGTCCTGTGCGTGAATTGACAGCATAAGTGTCTATCGAATAGCGTAGTGCAACAAAAACTCTGTAGCGATGTGGATAGAGAATGTAAACATTATCAATAACGAATGTCTAAGATAAATATAAACAATGATGTTTAGACTAAATAAATTAAACATTACAGGCAGGGCTATGTAAATGTACGAATGCGAAAGATAGAAAAAATTTAAGTTAGTCGGTAATATATGGCATCATTCGGATAATTGTAATTTTATTAAAGTAAATTTCCATACCACAAACAGTTCTTAATATCGTGTATGATTTTCCTATGCTACAATTAAGATCATAACTAAACGATAAAGTAACTTATTCCGATAATTTTTTTTGAGTCTAATCCATAATAATGAAAATGTCCATTGCGAACTTTTTGGGACATTTGACTTAAAAAAAAAAACATTAGAATATCTTCGCGTTTTGTTGCATAGCCCCATATTTGGGAATTTTAAACAACTTTTTCTTATAACATTATTTCGATTGAATCTATATTTAGGTGTGCTGCCTTTCAACAAAACAAAACATTTTTTCTACTTTTGAAAACTCTGTGTAGTAGCCAAATCAAATTTAGATGCTACAAACTATTTTGAATAAAACTAGGAAAAAGTTTTATTGAAAAAAAATTTCGATTAAATTTATATATAATTTGGCCACAATGAACATGTTGAGTAATTTTTGGACCGCCCTGTAGACAGGTTGAAATGGGGTAAAAATAAGCTAGTTTATCAAAAAAAAACAAATTGTATGGTTTTATGCAAGTGAATCTTTTCGGATTGTAGGCATTTAACTGTGAATTTTCAGGGTATTAAAATTAAAATTGCGTTCTTAAACTTACCTTAATGATTGGAAAATGGGAATGATAATGGAAAATCAATAGTAGACAAGATATCTAACTATAAATTTTAATTTCAATCTGCGTATGAGAGTACGTAATACATAATAAATACAATCAGTCAGATGATAGATGCATGCTAAAAACTGAGAACAATATTTATTTAAATCATTGAATCATTTTGAACTTATTTAAGCTTTGAGTTTCACAGTCTGTAAATGTAATTGTCATGCACTTGCACGAATGAGTGAGAATATAAATGCCACACATGCTGGCTCATGCCGGGCGCCTTTCAGTTTTACTCCTACTCCGCGGCGGCTGTCATGCGACATGTGATAGATGGACGAAAAAAATTAGAGGCGATGTAATAAAAGTTTCACTTTAAAATCGGAATTAGGACACTATTACTATCAGTAGTCGATATAAATTTTCTTGAAAGATAAGATCTCATCAAACCAACAGTTATCCGAGAGCTTCTCTTTTTTTTATTAATTATTTAGTCTAACTTTACTTTTTTTTTGGAACAGTTAGCGAAACATTTTGCTATATATATAAATTTTTTAATGACTGAGTCAGGAATCTATATAATTTTATAGATTTCTTCCCAATTAAAATTTGACGTTACATTTTTTAGTTTATCGGAATCTATTCTATAATATTTTTTATCTAAAGTTTGTTTTCAATAATAATAGTAATGATCCGTAAAAATATTAGTAGTAGTAATGATATAGTTTACAAT